TTTTCCCCCCCCCCCCCCCCCCCCCCCCATGATCCAGAGATAAGAAGCAAATAGCTGCCCCTCGGTGCACTGAAATTTCCACCACTTCAATTCCTCTTGAAAGGGGGAAAAGAAAAAATCTTCCACTCGACAAGAAACCAGACCTTAAGCGTTTAAGACCATTCCTCAGAAAGTTGTGTTGTTTTTTTTTTTTTGAATGCCTAGACTTTCTCATGTAAAACTTTCCACCACGAAGTAGCTCCTCGGGGGCTTCAAAATTTAACTGTTCTGTTGCCGGAGGGAGTTAGATGTAACCAAACTTCACCCTGTGTCAAAGCCCCTAATCCCCTTCCTCGAAACTCATTTAAGAAACGCAGTTTCGGAGACATTTTGAGCTGAGGAAAGAAAGTTGGTGGCAGCAGGATCAGTTCTCTAAATCCGGATTTATTTAAAAAGAAAAAAAAAAAAGATAGTGGTTTGAAAAAAGATGATTTAGCTGTGTTTAAGCTGGGCAGTCAAATTTTTCAGTTTTGTTTGATTCTTCTCAAGGATGGATGAATTTCAAATCCGCTTCATGCTGAATTGATATATTCCTCGTATCTCGGACTGAGTATGGACTTGCCTAAATCCTCATTGCTATATTTTTCAGAAGCGTACCCGTGACTTAAGTGATGTTTGCAACCCATCGGCCACTAGAATTTAGAAACATTTTTCACTTTCCTTAGAACTGTGGTAAAGAGCGGATATTTTTAAGACGACAATATAAGGTTCTTTTTAAATAGAATTTAAAATGTTAGTTCATTTTATTAGGAAATATGCTTACTTTAAAAATGTTGGAAAAGCTGTCTTCTGTAGCATCAGCAGGATGTATTTTCCAGAGATGTTTAATGCTCCAGAATAAAAATCGATTTTAGAACAACAGCACCTATATGTCATTGTGTTATACTGCTTCATCTAAAATTTCAGAAATATTTTCATTGGGCTTTCCTGCGTTCTTCAGTGGCTCGTTAAGTGTATTATAAGAATCAATTTTTGCTTAGGTTAAAAAAAAGAAGTCCAGAGACAAATGGAAACAATTCCTCTCCGGTGCAGCAAGTGCTTACTCGGTCCCATGCAAGCTTGCTGCCCTTCTAAATGTTTTTAAAATTGTTTGATTTTTTTGAATTGGAGATCGTTAATCTCTGGTTACATTTACCGGTGGTTGCTTGGGCTTTGGTTTGTTTGCTTGTTTACCTGTTTGTTTTCGAGGGTTTGATCTCTACATTCCCGCAGCAGCCTTAGGGGAGCAGGAGTGGAGGCGCAGAGCGGACTGGCTTTATTTGACTTTCCTCGGTTTATTCCCCTACCGCCCAAGGAAAACGTTGCTAAAGAAAAATTAGAAACCCAAAACAAACAGTGGGAAACCCCACCCCGCTTTCCCCGCTTGGCATCGCCTCGGATTTGACACGCGGTTCCTTTTTCCAAGGGCTCAATGAGTGGTTCCTATAATTCCCTCTCTAAATTCGTTTGACATTTTATTGCTCATGAAGAAATACAAGCGCTTGGAAAGTGTTTCTATCTCTATATTTAAAAAACAAACAAACCCTAAGACCTGCTCAGCCCTGCAGGAAGCAGGTAGTGAGAAATATAACCGAGAATCTCTTTCCACTAATTTTTAACATAATGGGCGCTCTAAAGGGCAATATTTCACTTCTTAAAAAAATCCTTTCTTTGGGGCAGCTCTGAAAAGAAAACAAAAGAAGAAGAAAGATATTTGGAGCTTACTGAGGGAAGAGAGAGAAAGGGAAGTAACTTGTCATAAAAAAAAGGAAAATTCAGTGCAGTGTGCTGCAATAAAAGAATATGACCGCTATAAAACTTTATAGGGTATAAATTTCTGAAGGTTAAGGAACTAAACGGCTGTAAAGCAAACAGTGCAAGAAAACTTTCAGGAACTCCTAAATTACTACAACGACTTGGGAATGTGGGGAAACCCAACGTGTAAATGCTCTTGTTTCTGCTTCACTCACATACAAAGTTCCCCTCTTTTTTTTTTTTTTTTTTCCTTAAGGGAGGGGGTAGTTAAAAAATAAGGGGGGGGGGGGGGGGGGAGAAAAGGGG